AAGCACAGGTAAAGCGCATAGAAAGTGCATGTAAAGTGCAGGTAAAACGCAATAAAAAAACGCAGTCAAAGAGCACAGTCAAAGTGCAATTCATGTGGCAAGTTTTAATTAGATGTCCAGACCTATTTTTAGGTCCGATGACCAGACCTAATAATTTCCCCAAGTGATGAGAGAGCAAAGACAAACAAAAAGGAGTAACTACCAAAGAAAATAATTTGCAACTTGAATATACCTCAAGATTTGTACTTAATCAAGAGAGTTTTTTGTCACTATAGGAAAATCACCTATTTCCGACGAAATTTTCCAACGATTTTCTGACGGAATACAATGAGATAACTTTTTCAGCGACAATTTTCGGTCAATTTTCTGGCAGTTCACCGATGACGTATCAAAGTTATATAACAAGCATTTCATTAGTAAGCCATATGACAATAATTATGACATCTCTTTAAAAGAAACTTTGAAAAAGTTAACGAGGAAATATCCAAACAAAGGATATTAGGTGGCAAAAGTTGCATTAATTCATCAATAATTTTGAAAAGAAGACAAACAAATTTCATAATGGGACCCATGCTTCGAGTAAAGTAAATGCTATATTATAATTTTCTTATGATCACTGAGATAAATTTGATTGGGATTATATCTTTTGGATTAATCCTTTTGATTTAGGTTTTAGTACTAACAAATAGTATTTGTGTGAGAGAGAGTCGATGGACTTGTGTGATGTGCATATAAATAAATAAATAAATAAATAAATAAATATATAAATATATATATATATATATATATAATTAATTAATTTTAAAATTTTGACTAATACAAATTGATCATAAAGATTGTATTGTATAAAGATAATTGCATTGAATGACATGCCCTACATTTGGACATACTAGGAAAGTTCAATTTGGATTAATTAGGAGAGTTTTAATTTTTTTTTGAATGAACTAATCATAAAGATTGTAGTGTATGATGCATATGATATTGTATGATCATATCTAAATTCAAGTATTAACACACCATACCATTATTTCTTAATTAGATTAATTTCAAAATTTAAATTTTTATATTTATGTTGTTTATCTATTATATTTTTTAATTTAAACTAATCATACAATGTGATGGGTGCGTCATGATGTACGATTTACTTGTATGTTTAAAATAGCAAATTTTAGAGTTTGATTTTTTGACACTTGATATAAATATTTATTTAATAAACCTTGAATGAGAGAGGGCAATAAATTCTAAGAGAATGAAAGGGTGAGGATTTGCTTTTTGAGAGAAATCTTATTATTTTTAATTTAAAAATCATAGAAGGTGGGATCTCATTACAAGAGTGCTCGATTGAGGTTATTTTCTTCTTTTCTTTCTCGTTCGTCTTCTATTGAACTTAGTTGGTTTGTTGTATGCTTGGTGCACTTGAGACTATACGGGATTTGGGGGTTATGATCAATGGTTTTCATTGGACTGTTATTTGCTAGCCAATTGTCTAGAATGGTGGTATTTTCACTCAAAGTTAAAAAAAGGTGTAGGGTTTCTCCATTACCCGCCAAGTAGAGTAGTTTTTCAGTAGTGGTGGCTAAAGAAGAGAATAGTGAAGCCTTGCTTTCGAGGTTTTAAGATGAGGACATAGGCATTAGTGCCGAACACCATAAAAAATAATGTAGATACTCTTTTTCTCTTGATTATATTTTGCTTCACTGTTACATAGTTTTACTTATAATTTTCATTGCTTGCACTCAATAGTTGAGCACAAGATAGATGATATTTTGGTATTTTGGATAAATTTATATGATCTATTATTTGTTGATGGAAATCATAGTGTTATTTGTTGATGGAAATCATAGTGGGAGATCTAATTAAAGAATCTTGATAGCTATATGTTAGTCTTTAAAATTATCTTGGCGTTAACTTAAAACTCATTTTTCACAAAATATTAATTTCATTAAAAAAAACAATATTGTTCACCAATTTTAAATTTTAGCATTTTTTTATCTCACTTGTTTAATTAGTAAACATAATAAATAAAAAATTAACACCAATTCATTTCCTCTTTTAGGTATTGCCATGCCATTCACTTCAAGTTTATTTTTCATAAAGAAGCTTCAAGTTTTCAACTTTTTTCTTCTAAAGATGCTTTGTATTCTTTAATGAAGAATATTCTTATTATATCTAATAGTAAAAAAACTTATTTAATATAAGTTGAACTCCGTAAATAATATACTCTATAAAAAGTTATATTTTTGCAAATTAGAGTTTTAAGTCCAAATTAGTTTGTCCTATGTTTTACAAGAAAAGAATATTTTGTTGTTGATTATACTTGTTTGTTCTTTTCTCTCAATTTAAATTTTACATAATCATTATCATCATCATCATTATTCTTATTTATTTTTTGTTCTCTTCTTTCTCTCTTTTATGAGAATATTTATTAGTGTATGTACTTCCCCATGCATTTCTCATTTCATTGCGGCCATATCAACCTTTATTGATCAATTTAGCAATTTAGATGGATATGGAATTCCTTTGATGAATTTAGATATTCTAGAGTAATTCTACAAGAATATACATTCATTTTTTTATCTTTCTTATTGTATTTAACCTCTTAGGTGATCAAGTATTTGAACATTGCCATCAACTTTGTATGATGAAGTATTAATGCTTCTATGATTGAATTTATCTAGTGAGTCAACCATTTCATATCAACTTGTTGAGCATAAAAAAATATCAAGTAGTTGTTCCCAACTAAAGTTTCATTTTTTTGCATTGAAAATAAATTAAACCACAAGTACATTTGACCTAATGTCGACCTCAACTTGCTTAATTCCTTAATAAGTGATGTTAAGACTAATAGTTTTATTTGGATCAAGACCTTTAGGTAGTTTGTATAGCAATTGTTTCTACAATAACTAGATCACTTGATGACCTGAATTGGATAGGTAAGATTTGATAAATTATTCAGCATCATTAATATGATATTGAAAAGTATTTAAAGTTATGTTTAAATTTATTTGAGTTTAAAACAGAAGGTTGTAACTTCAAATTAGAATGACAATGTTAAATAAGGAGTTGTCCTTGGGGGCGACGTTGCCCTCTCTATTTGTCAATGCAGTAGTGTTGGGAGCTAAGAAGTGGTGCTATGGCGCTTAGCTCTTTATCTTAGGTTCTAGATATTTTCATGGGGAGCACTGCAATGTTGGAAATTTTGGCGCCATGGAGTTGTCTTATATATCCTAGTCTACTTAATAACATTTCTCAAATTTTCTCATTTGCAAATCATTTGCATCCAGATAGAGAGATGAGGAGGATTTCAAGAGTACTAAAGTTAGTTTTGAAGGCCTTAAAGCTTATTTCAACCATCATATCAACCCAATTGAGGAAAATGCCCAGCTTGAGATAAGTTACAAATCCTCTGTTGTAGTTTTCCATATCGATGCTTGGGTGGATATTTTTGAGGTTTTATTTGATTTAACAAGGTTTGAAATTTTTTCTAATGTATAACTTTTGATATATTGTGGAAAAGGATATTCTATATATATTGCCAAGAAAAATATAAATTTTGATGTGGCAGCTTGATTTGTACCCTATTTTAAGTATTTATATAATAATGCTAATATTTCTAAGAAAATATGCTGTACAACTAACGCTTTAAAATAGTGTTATAAATGTCTCTCATTTTTTTTTTTTGAATAGTTACTATAAAATACATGCACAAGTTTCACCCCGTGCATATTACTAAAATTATTGTACACGTGCTACTTTCATGTATTCACGCATTATGTTAAATGTCATTCATACATGTTGAATATACTGATGTTTCTATGTCCATGTGATAAAGTGGACATGGTATATTCATGTGTTGGAGGATGTGAGGGGAGAAAGGGGGTGATAAAGTGACAGTTCTTTCATATTTTTTTTAATACAAATGGAGTTATAAGGGTCTATGAAGACATGTAATTGCTCTATCATTCTTGAACAACTTTGAGATGAACAAGTGGAAATACAAATGAAAGTGGGGTTACAAGAGAATTGAGCTATATGAAATTCCTCCATCTATCTTGTACAAATTTCATATAAACAAATGGAGGTATAAACAAATGGCCAACATATACTATGGTAAAGCAATGTTAAAAAGTGAATGACTCTTGCAAACCTTCAAGTAGTTTACTCTTTGCGCAAGATATGTGATAAACTTCTTTTAATATTTGAGGGAGGATAATGGTTGAGGTGAATGATGGAGTGGTCTGACTTGAAGAGGAGATTATTTAGAGATATGAGGTTTTCGGTTTAATATAATATATATTATTGAAAAATATATTGATATAAAAATAAGTGGTTAGCCCTTACACATAAGTTTATGCTTTTGTGATGATAATAGGGCTAACAATTAGTGCATTTGAACCAAGTTTTATAATTGTGGTGCTTGATTAATTTATTTTAGAGTTATTTTATGATTCATGATAATTCTAGGTTGACACTTCCAAATTAAGCACAATTCTTCTAACAATCCATTGTCTTAATGATTAAAAATGAAGCACACTTGTGTACATATCATTATCATCATTGTTGAGTATATGAACTTTACAATATAAGTAGTTGATTTTCTTTTCGAAGTGATGGGCAAGTCAAAGGGAATATCAAATGGTCTTAATGCTTAGCCATAGTATATATCCACATACTATTTTATGCTCAGTGTAACTGATCTATTTGGAACACTTTTATATGAGGATACTCAAACAGTTAATTATGATCATCAAAGAATCTTTTTTCTTACATGATAGCACACAACTATAATCAATATAATGAGATAAAGGAAAATCTTGCAAGTTTTATATGTTGTCTTCTAAACCTTTAATTAAAATATGCTTTTGAGGAAGTTTTAGCTCAAATTATCCTCAAAAATCATACATATTCTTTATTAAAACTTAAAAATCACATTTAATTTGACAATGATGAAGTAAAAGACTAATACAAAAAAGCATTCAAGCAGTTTAGAGAGACACGCACGATTCCAACAATGCACCTGAAATATTATTTGTAGGTAGTCACACAGATTTCCCATTATGTAAGAAAAGTTTCAATCGTTCCTATAAATCAAAATCGGATCAACGAGCACTTCAATGATACTTTTCTTCATGAACTCTGAGGAGTCGGTATATATGTCACGTGTGTCCTTGTAGTAAAAATCATAGATACGTGACAAGTTTAAGATTGGCCTAATTAATGGCAATGGGATGTTCTTTGTTGACACAAATTCTCTATTTATAATCATGCAATGTTCTTTCACCATCTCCTTAAGCTTCTTTCAAGCTTCCACTTCAGAGCAACCATACTCTTTGATATAACATTGAACTGATGAAGCAAGATGATTCCTTTTTTGTTCATTATGAAAGATCAAATACAATAAAATTACTGATGAATACAATATACGATCAACATGAAAATTTAATGAATTCTTGAAATTTTTTTTGACAAAATTCCTTTTTAGCTATACATTTTTAAAATATCACAAATGGTATCAATCAATATGTCTCATAAGTTTATCATTTTTCAAAACAAAATTTCCAACTATAAAAGATAAAATATATCCTTAATATCAAATCCATAAAACTTACTTGATATGAACCAATATCATTCATAAGCCTCCCAATTGCACAAAAAGATTTGATAATCTCAGAAGGGCTGATAACCCAGTCAAAAATATCCTTTGAGATAAATTCCTTCATTCCAACATATGAAGCACACGTGATAAATATGCACCCAGAAGTAATAAATGTTACTTTAACATATTCCTCAAGCTTAGGAATATAGCACTCGCTCGCCCATTTGGTTTCTTGAAGGTATGCATGAGCCATTCGCTTCAACTGGAATTCAAATGAATAATCAAAACAAAGGCAACAAGATATAGATTAGTGAATAATGATGTTAATCTTATTGGTTTAATTATATGATCAAACTAGAAACAAAACTATTTTTAAAATATTAAATATTAATACATATCTACTTTCAATAATATATGCATATATAACCACAATTAATTTATTACCTCATCTCTAAGGTAATGAACTCGAAAAGAATTGTGCTCAGGAGCTAACTCATCCTCGATATCCTTGAAGGTATTGTAAATCGCAAGGAAGCATCGTTGCATATATTCTGGCAACGTTCTAACTTTTTCAAGATTCCAGATGTAATTATTTATTAAATCAATATTTTTAGCTTAGAAATGTGGCAAATTAATTACTAGATTATGATGTTGGTTTGTTTTTTAATTTCTTTTTTACCTTTCTATTGCATTGGTGAATAACTCGAGCTCTTCTAGTGTCACGACCCGACCCGATCCGGGACGGATCCCGCTCGCACCGGGTCGTGACCGGAATGAAACGAATTGACTTACTGACCAGGATCTGGTTATGGAATTTGGTTCGGAACTGAATCTTCCAAATAATTTAACTCAAACAGACACACAGACACAGAGCTACTATGAATCATCAAACACAGCGGAACAAAACATCTATCATTTTCTTTTCCTCAAAACAATCATCTACAAATACAGTACATGGCTCAGACAGAAAGGAAAGACAGAACAGAAAAGCCATGACTGTACAAAAATCAAAAGTACAAAACAATACCTACGGATCAGACTCTGAAATCTATTCCTGGACTTCCTTCCCTTTCCCAGAACCTGAAAACCACCAGAAAACAAGGGTGAGCTCAACAGCTCAGCAAAGCAACAAACCTCCAATCAAAACTCTCAGAATCTAAAACCAAACATCTGACAAATCCGTAAAGAAATCAGAACAGAATCGGACAGATACCAAATCGGACAGATCAGAACGAAACAGATCAAATCAGAACAGATACGGACAGATCAAATAAGACAGAATTGAACATAACAGATATCAAAGCAAACAGAACTGTACGGAAACAGAAGTCATCTCAAATCAGAAACAGAACAGATCAAACATATCAAATCAACAGAATCAGAATCGTACAGAAATCAGAATTCAAATTATAGCGGAACAGAACAGAATCGAATCAGAATCATATCATACAAATCAGATCAATTCATATCGTACAGAAATCAGAATCAGATTTGCTTAAAGAACAGATACAGAAATCATAATCATATCAAATCAGATATCAGATATTATTTAATTCATAGCTAAATGCCCTGACACTGACGGAATCTCTATGGATTCCGTCCCCTTATGCCTCCCTTCCCAGACACTGATAGAATCTCTCGGATTATGGCCCCTTATGCCTCCCTTTGTGCTCACGGCACCAGAACAGATATGCTTATAGCACCAGAACAGAATTCATCGGATCCGGAACAGAACAGATATCAGATTTCAGATTTAAGCTCATTTCAGATTTCCCAAACACTGACTGAATCGCTTAGGATTCAGGCCCCTTATAACTCCCTTTTTATAGCATATATAGATAGCATATCAATTCAGAAGAAATCCGGACAAATCAGAAATTAGACAAAAATCGGGCAGTACAACGGCAGTATACGGAATTTACACAATTTTTCCTGAAAATCACAAAATACCAAATTTGCACAGAATGTAGATAACAACATTTCAGAATATTTATTCTACTGCACAGACAATTTTCAATTACGCAGAAAAATCTAGTCGACTAAAAACACAGTCGAATCAAAAACACCCGGACAAAAATCTCCAGAAAATAACCAAAATGTGCACACTCGGCACATAAACAACATACAGAAAGTTACGCGGTAAAAACTGAACCAATCGAAATATACGGACGAAAATCACTAACGGAAACAAAATCCGGACAGAAAATACCGCCAAACACGACGGTTCTGAAAATTGAGAAAGGCGGATTGTGCCTTACCTCGAGCACAGCAATTTCCGCAACAGCCACTTCGGGCGAAAACGGCTCCGTGTCGTCCGAAAATCCACTTTTCCAAAAGTTTTCTCGACTTTCTCTCTCCTCAAAAGATATTTTCGTTTTTTATAAAATTTTCTCTCTCTTTAAAACGACTGAAATCAGATCGTCCAGGACGATCTGGATCGTCCTGGGACGATC